CAAAATATCCATGCAGACATCTTTGTTTTAGTTTCTGATATAGTTAAAATGTGTATAATCCACAGAACAAATGCTCTTTAGGGTTTTCTTTTCTTTTCTTTTTTTAAGGTTCTAGGGATCAAACCCAAGGCTGCACACATGCCAGGCAACTGCTTTCCCACTGAGCTACATCCCCAGCTCTGTTTTGGATTTGTTTTCCATACTAATGGTTGACTCCTGGGCATCATGCACCCTAAGCAAGGGCCCTACCCCCTTTTCAGACCGGATCTCATTAAATTGCCCCAGCTAGCTTTGAACCTGTGATCCTGTTGCCTCAACTTCTGCATTATAGGCATGTACCACCATGCCTGGCTACCTATTTCCAGATCTTAACATCATCTGCACTCTGTCCAAGCTTCAGGTAGGTCCTCTTAATGTCACTTTACCTCATTGATTCTGAGGTGTTCCCCATGCTAAGTTTTCTGGAATCCAGATGCAAATTACCTTCTGTTTTGGCCAAGGAACAGACTTGTCTGACACCCTCTGGTGACAAGAGAGCACCAATATCAAAAGGTGAAGAATAGATTCCAGTGATTTAGAAGAACCCCCAAGTCAAGAATGGAAACGGTTTTAGGGAATGCATTTTCTCMAAAGCTCTTCATGCCTACCTGAGACCATGTCATATGGGAGAAAAGCAGATACTGACTCCGAGTCCAGATGTGATTTATATGTGCCACAAAGACTGTGAAGACTGTTCAGAATACTTTAAGCTATTTAATTTATGTGCCTTAAAACATTATGTATAAATAAGTTTTTTTAAAGCTCTTTCAATAGCATAACATTTTTAAGTGATAAGAAAGCATTATTACAGTCTAATTAGAGTGTTTTTTCCTCTTCCTTGTGGGCCCATAAAATGATGATGCATCTTACAATTAATGCGATTTTTTTGATTGAATGACCACAGCATTGTGCTTCTTGTACTTTATAAAATAAAGATCTTCCCCTCAGCCACTCTGATGCTTCTAGGGTTTCATGCCTTGCCTGGGTTGTCAAAACCTCCAGCGAAGACTCCTTTAGTGATTCATCCAGGTATATAAGCTTATCAAAGTCTTCCTGTCATTTCCAGATATGTTTCTACTAAAATTGAAATGTTGTATTAAAAATGGGCATTTTTAGCTTTGGTGTGGGTGGAGTGGCAGATAACTATGCTTTAGGTATTGGCAGTGAGGACAATTTCTACTTTCCATTTCCTAACAGATGTTAGCCACTCTCCAGGGAGGTTGGAGAGAACAGTAAGGAGCCTTGGTAGGAAGTCTTGGATGCTAAAATGACTTTTGTGTGCTCAGAAAATTAAGCCCMAAAAATTCTTGGCAGCTCAACAGTCATTCTGTTGCAGGGCAAGACTACTCATCAATTCTGTGAATGCTCTGGAAAAAAAAATTTGAGCGAGAGGCATAAGATACAAGCAAGAGTTTATTAGAAAGTGAGACATGAGGGAGACCTGCAGCATGAAGACTCAAGGACTGCCTCGGAAAGAGAAGGGCCCAGTCTTTACAGAGCCCAGAGTTTTTAAGGGGTTTGAAACCAACTGCATTTGGAATCCTCTGAAATTGGCCCCTGGAAATTATATTGTTTCTTGATGTGACAAGAAAGGATCCAGGGACTAGGAAGGGGCTACAAACCTGTGCGATTTCATCTTCTTGAGTCCTAGAATCTTTGATCTGTGTTTTCCTGTAGATAGGCTGTTTCCTGGTAAATTTAACATCCTATTTACCTAGGGCAGAGCCAGAGTGGCCTGACATAAACTGCTTTGTCAAAAGAAGGCCTGTGGCAGTGGAGTCCACACAGCAGGCCAGTCTATTGAACTTTCCCCAATCCCACCTTGTTTTTCTTTTCTTTTCTTTTTTTTTTTTTTTTTTTTGGACTGGGGATTAAACCCAGGGTGCTTTGCCACTGAGCTACATTCTTCGATCTTTTCATTTTCTGAGATAGGGTCTCACTGGCCTCTAACCTGCAATCCTTCTGCTTCAGYCTCCCAAATTCCTGGGATTACAGGTGTGCACCACCGTGCCCAAATGTTCTTATCCATCATGTTTGTTTGCCACCTATCAATTCCTAGGTTGAGAAGCAAAGCACCCCCACTTTGACTCTGCTTCTTCAAATGAAACTGTCATGTTTTCAATACCAGAATCTCAAAGTATGTGACAAAATCCTCAACTGAAATTTTCCAAAACTGACTTTGTTACTGAAACCTCCATCCTTGTCCCCAATACCACTCTAATAATAAAGACAAGGTTCTGAGGGGGAAAAAAAGGAAATAGATGTTTTATTTCTTTGCTAGGAAGGAGAAACAGAGGACTCCTGTCCCAGAGGCAGTGAATCTGGCTGTCAGGGGGAACAGAGGGCTTTTAAAGAGGAGAGGCAAAGGCTACATTCCAGGTGTGTCTTGTCAGAGGTCATAATTCACTTGTGACCCTGAGAGAGAGTTGTTTCTTAGATTTTCTGGCACCATGCCAGTCCCAAGATCCAAATTAACTTCATCCTCTGGTGTGTACATTCAAGGACAGATAACACAGAGTAGGATGAGAAGAAAGGTAATCTTGCTTACCCCGAAGTTAGGGAAGGGGAGAGGAAAAAGATTWAAAAAAAATGTCAGTTTTAAAATCAGGTGTTCAAAGCATAGCGTGAACTCCTGTTACAGCTTCATCTGGATTTGAAAGCATTATTTATTGAGACAATTAAAGCACTTCTTGTCCAATCATATCTTAAAAATGTTTGTTCCAATTATAGCCAATCCTCATCTTATTTAAACTTAAAAATGTTTCACCAGGCATGAGTGGGGCCTGTGATCCCAGTTACTACAGAGGTTGAGACAGGAGGATTCAAGTTCAAGGCCAGCCTCAGCATCTTAGCTGAGATGACCCTGTCTCAAAATTAAAAAAAAAAAAAAATAAAGAGGTGGGGCTGGGGTTGTGGCTCAATGGTAGAGCACTTGCTTTCCTTGCATGCATGGGGCACTGGGTTCAATCCTCAGCACCACATAAATAAATAAAATAAAGGTATTGTGTCCCTCTACAACTAAAAAATAAATAAGTAAATAGATAGATAGTAAAAATAAATAAAATAGATAGATAGATAGATAGATAGATAGATAGATAGATAGATAGGACTATGGATGTAGCTCAGGGTAAAGCACCCTTGGATTCAATCCCCAGTACCAAAAATAAATAAGTAAATGAGACAGGAAGAAAGACTACCCATAGGCAGCCAGAAAAAGGGTCTTGGAGAAAAAAAGGAGGAAGAGAGCATTGGGAAATCAAACTTCTGACCCCAGCTGGCCCTAGTCACAAAGACACTTCCTTAACAGCCCCTAGAAATGACCAAACACAAAAGGTACTTCCTCTTGCACCAACAGATCCTCACCCCAGCCTTGTGGTAACAAGGGCAAAATCACCTTTTCTCCATATTTGCTTAAGATAACAAAATAGAAGTGAATGACCCCTTTCTGAATTCTATATTTAACGTCATCCCCCCAGAATCACCCATAGGGACAGATCAAGCCCATTAAAACCCCTAGACAACAGACACCCACTGGCAAACCTCTCGTGGGACCCATCACCCTCTTCAGGAGCTCTGGGTTCTTTCTACCTATTATCCTAATCAGTCCTATTACTTTACCCTCATCCTTGTGTCTGTGGATTTTATTCTTTGAATTCATGAGAAAAAGAACCCACCTGAAAAACATGCTCCACGTTACATAAGTAAGTAAAAGTAGTAAATAAACCAATAAAAGAATTGAATGATATTCCTACTGAACTACTCTAGTCTCATTTCCTTTCAGTAAGACCAGGGGATGACATAATAGAATTGAGTCTATATTTTCTCTCATTCTAGCAATAAGCAATAATCACCCTTAGATTTCTGAATTAATTAAAAACTCCAGCTCCATTCATTTTCATTGAGAAGCTTTCTGATCAAATATTTTGGTTTGGAAAAAGAGAAAAAAATGTCATTTATAAAAATTTGTAATATGTTTATGCTTTTTTTTTTTTTGAGCTGGACAGGTTGGTTTATTTATCAAGGAATGTATTACTTAAAAAAGCAATAAACACCCAAATGTTTAAGAAGACAGCAAAAAAAATCACTTTGAAAAGGCAATCTTTTTTTAAAGCATGAACGAATATGCACTTCAAAAATCTACAGAAAACTTTTCACTTGTATGTGTTCCACAACATTCTAGCTAAGAGTACAAAACAGGAATAACCTGAGCAGCACATGAACAAAGCCCAGGAACCCTCCGTCATCGAGAAAGCAGAGCAGTGTTTAAGTCTTCCTGTAATCTCCAGTATGATCACTAGAACAYGTGARACCCTTGGCATTTAGAGATTTGGCATCTACGAATCCATCCTCTGGGAAAGACTGATGAAATTTTAAAACCAAAATGCTGAGGCTGGAGTATGACAAGTCACTGAGCTGACAGAGAACATACCCACTGCACACTCAGCCTTGCAGTCTTYATGTGGGGCAACGACMACAACTGCATCTGCAAASCTGGGAACTCACAGAGGACTAGACAGTGCGCGGTCTGTGAATGTCAGAGGTGACTGGAAATCAGCTAGTTTCATACACAGGCAGGTCTGTTTCCAAGAAAAAGGAACCAAAGCACAGAGGTAGAGGATAAGAGTTTTCAGATAACCAGAGTCTCATGATAATGTCCTCTCTATGTGAACTGTGATGTCACATAGACCTCAATCCTAAATCAAGAACACACTAAAGGGGASTTACACACACCTTAACAGAGGGAAGATGAGCCAAACAGAGGTGACTCCTTTGAACAGGAGAAATACGGGAAAACTAAATTTAAACAAAAAATCTAAGCTGGTGCCAACAGTAATCTGTTTCCAAAATAAAGAAATTTGTCTAACCACATCTTGTACCCCTTCTTTATCAACGCCAGACTACCCTTTCTCCAAAACTGCCAGTCACCCGCAGACAACCATGGCTGTGCTTCAGATATATGCTCAGGCGATTTTCCCCAGCCATTTCTCCAAGTCCTGSATGTCAGCAGAGCCAGTGTCTTCTCTTCCGCCCTTGGCACTGCACTCAAGGAACTCCACTTTGAGGGGCAACTGTGAGAATTCAAACTCTTTGCCTTTCTTTCCCAGCTGAACAGGGATGGTGCTGGAATTATCCAGCGTGCTGGGGGCAGCAGAACGCGGAACTCRTAAGGTGTTGAGTTCTTTCTCAAGCTGTTGCTGAATTAATTTTGCTGATTTTGCCATTGCAATATCTTGCTTGTTGCAGGCTATCAAGAATGATGGCGTGTTCTTCAGACTCATACTATCAATGAGGACTTGATACAGAAACTCGGCCACATCCTTCACCTCTGGCTGGAATGCTGCGCAGTCCAAAAAAAAAAGCAACAGCCCTGGCTGAAGACTTAAACCGCTCCAAGAACTGAAGCCTTAAGCTCTCMTGTCCAGGGAGGTCAATCAAGGTCAAGCTGTTGCCCCTGTTATTGTTGACTCTGTTTACAGCAGAGCTGTCAGTAATGGAAGTCTGAGTGTCTCTGTAATGGCCTGTTAACAACCTGACAAACAGCAATGTCTTCCCGGAATCACAAAGACCAACAAGGAGAACAGCTCTCTGACTGCTCTTTCTGCTCCAGATGAACTTCCAGAGCACCAGAGTCAGCAGAACTACGAGGAGCGACACCAGTACTGACAACAACGTTGGGTCCCTCTGCTGCAGCTCCTGCCTCAAGGAGTCTAGGTAGGGTTGGAAGGTGCCCCCCGGCACCGCCGGTGTCTCCCATCCGCCGGGAATCCGCGGAAGCCATGGATGAGGCGCGTGCTCTCCGGTGCCGCCTATGTTTATGCTTTTGATCAATCTGCGTTACTAATGATCATAGTAATAGATAGACTTAGAGGCTTATAGTCACAGAAAGTTAGGCAGAACTTAAAAAAWTTTTTTTTTCTGTACCTGGGCTTGAACCACTAAGTCATATCCCCAGCTCTTTCTATATTTTATTTAGAGATAGGGTCTCTATAAGTTGCTTAGGGCCTCACTAAGTTGCTGAGGCAGGCTTTAAACTCGTGTTCCTCCCACCTCAGCCTCCAAGGTGATGGGATTACAAATGTGCACCATGGTACCCAGYTTAGAATTTAATTTTTTTGGCGGGGGTGGGGGTTACCAGGGATTAAACTCAGGGACACTCAACTGCTGAGCCATGTCCTCTGCCCTATTTTGTATTTTATTTAGAGACAGGATCTCACTGAGTTGCTTAACACCTCACTTTTGCTGAGGCTGGCTTTGAACTCATGATCCTCCTGCCTCAGCCTCCCCAGCCACTGGGATTTCATGCGTGTGTCATCACACGCGGCTCCCAACCTAGAATTTAAGACTGATACATTTTCATTGCAGATACTTATGAGGGATGACAGTTTAAAACTTCCTTTTTGGGGGGAGGGGTGTATACTAGGGATTTTACCCAGGAGTACTTTATCAATGAGCTATATCCCCAGTTCTTTTTATATTTATTTTGAGACAARGTCTCACCAAGTTGCCCAGGCTGGCCTTGAACTTGAAGTCCTCCTGCCTCATTCTCCCCAGTCATTGGGATTTCAGGAGTGTGCCACCACACCCAGTTTTAAAGGGGAAAAAAAAGAAAAAAAAAACCTACCAGGAATAAATACTGCTGGGTTAAACACTAATCAGTGCCTAGGAAAGCATAAAGTGAGATAAGGACTCTGAAAGAATGTGTTAACAAGGGAAATGGAGAGAAGCAGCTGGCCACTTTCCTTATCTTCAATCTTTAGGAGAGGATCTAAACAGCGTGACCTTGGTTATAAAATAAAGTAGTCATAAAACATCTGAGGAAATCCACCTGTGCAGTGGGCGTGCAACCTATCTTAAATATCCCCCCTGGGGGCTGGGGATGTGGCTCAAGCGGTAGCRCGCTCGCCTGGCATGCGTGCGGCCCAGGTTCGATCCTCAGCACCACATACCAACAAAGATGTTGTGTCCGCYGAGAACTAAAAAATAAATATTAAAATTCTCTCTCTCTCCCTCTCTCTCTCTCACTCTCTCTTTAAAAAAAAAAAAAATTATCCCCCCTGCTTGAAAGAACCCTGTGACCCTATGTTGTGCTTCAGCCCCCTCCAAGGAGTGTGTGAGCAAGTTGTCCAAACCTCTGCATTGAGTCTTCCACATTCTTCCTTTGTGATGGTGAGACAGTATGCTCCGGGGCCTTGCTGCCCTGGGGTTGGACAAAAACACATTGCATTAGAATGTAATCCTGGGGGGAAAGGGAATAGTAATATGAGTTCAAAGAGAAAGAGTGACATGAAATTTCCCACGGTTAAAGAGGAGCTCATTCATGTTTTTTAAAACTTATGGTGGGGAGGGTATCAAATCACTATAACATTTAGAATCCACTGGATACATTAAAAGAATAATGTAGGGCTGGGGCTGTAGCTCAGTGGTAGAGCGCTTGCCTAGCTCATGTGAGGCCCTGGGTTTGATCCTCAGCACCATATAAAAATAAATAAACAAAACAAAGGTATTGTGTCCAAATACAACTAAAAAACAAAAAATTTAAAAAAGAGTAATGTAACAGCTAAATTTTTATCAAAATTTTAATACATAGTAATTTTGTTCTATGTACCAAAAAGAAATTTAATGAGAAATATTAGATTTTAAAACTAGAATGTATGAAGTGGCATGTAATTTTTCAAAACTTATTTTTTTTTTAGCTATAGATGGACAGCATGCCTTTATTTTATTTTGTTTATTTTTATGCAGTGCTAAGGATTGAACCCAACGCCTCACACTTGCTAGGCAAGCACTCTATCACTGAGCTAAAGACCCAGTCCCTCAAAACTTGTTTTTTTTTTTTTTTTATGGAGCATATTAACAAAAAAAATGGAACTCCACTAATATAGAATGTTGAAAACATAGAGTTGGTAGGTGTTCATTCAACCCAGTAGCAAGAAAAGAGGTCATATGTACCTACATCTGTGGAATTAAGTGGGAATGGAAGGACTTTATAAATATTTTAACTTTTACTCTTTGCTGAAACTGGAACAGTCCTTACATCAGCAGGCACATCCCACAGACACGAACTCCTTAATCAGCTCCACCTCTGGCACCAGCACAGGGGCCTTTAGCCAGGGTGGAGGAAGATTGGCTCTTCAAGAAGTGCCTCTGTGAGGCACAAGGAGGCGGGTTAGGACATAGGAGAAGAGGGACAGAGGAAAGCAGAGACCAGAGTTTGGTTGAATTCAGATCCATTTGAGACCAGGAAAAGAGATTGTTCGAGAAATATTTAAATGTGTTGTACTTCTCTGATGAACACACATACACACACATCTTTTCTGAGTATTCAATTCAAAACTCTCCCCGCTTCTAGCTCACAGAATGCTCCAGATTGCTTTGGAATGGCAGAAAAATAATTCATTTCATCTTCTCCATTCCATCATTAATGATGGCTTCTTGGCTTACATTTACCGTTGGGATTTTCTCTAAAGAGTTAAAATCMTCCATTTTTTTTCTTTCCCCAGTACTGAGGCATGAACCCAGGGGCACTCTACCACTGAGCTGCATCCCCAACAATTTATATTTTTATTTTGAGACAGGGTCCCACTAGGTTGTGGAGGCTGGCCTSGAACTTTGCTTTAGCCTCCTGAGTAGGTTACATTGTGTAAATTAGAGTTGTGTGCCACCACACCCATCTTAGAGTCTCTTTGCTCATGCCTAAATTCTATTTCTAGGGCACCCCCTTCTTTCTTTCTTTCTTTCTTTCTTCTTTCTTTTTAATGTTTATTTAGTCGTAGATGAACACACAGTATCTTCTATTTATTTTCATTGTGGTACTGAGTATTGAACCCAGTGCCTCACACATTCTAGGCAAGAGCTTTACCACTGAGCTAAAGCCCCAGCCCATCTAGGGCACCCCTTTCTGTGTCTCATTCTCCTCTTCTACTATTGTGGCAGAGATTGCCGACTATCTACTCCCAATACTTTTCTCTCTTCCCAGGAATGCTCAAACCAGAAAARAACATCAAAAACCTCACTTACGAGTACACATGGAAAATCCTAATGAAATACAAGAATCACTTCCATTTATCTCCCATTGGCTAGAACATGTAGTCCTCATTTAGTACAAAGAAGACTGAGAAATTTACACAGCCTTGTGCCCAAATAGGAACTAGACTTAAATTTTCAAGGAAGCCATTTTCCCCTCTTTATACTCAACAACATGGCCCACAAAAGCCAGTTTCCTACTGTCCCTTCAGTGGTATGGTTTATTTCTGGTGTACCCTTACACATTGTGCTTAGCCTCTTACAGACCCCGCTTTATAGGGAAAGCTTCAAGATTGATGTGGGCGTGGTCACCTCCCCTCCTGTAATACCTGTAATGGACTCAGCCATCAAAACTAAAATTTAAGTTCATCATGATGTAGAGATGTCCTGAGAGAAGAATCTGGTTCTGGTTCTGGGTTCTTTATTCCTCTGAATTCCTGCTTTCCCTTGCTTTTTTTTTTGGCCAGCTCAACACTACAGTTACATAACTTAAAAACTATTCTCTCCAGCATGTGTAGTTATATTACTGATAAGTTTGACCAGGGTATCTAGATACCATCTTGCCTGAGTAAAAATTTTTAGAAGTTTGTTTAATAAGACATAAAAGGACAGCTGATCTTCAGTTTAGACAAACTATTTCAAAGAACAGAAAAGAAGGAAAGTTACACAAGTCATTTCACAAGACCCACTTTACCCTGACACCCAAACCAGATAAGGTCAGCACAAAAACAAAACAAAACTGAAAATCTTTCTCTTTTATAAACCTAGGTGGAATTATGACTAGATTGTTCAATTAAATGAGCCAATAAACTTTCTTTTGTGCTTAAAAAACACAAAMGAAACATTGTTTATAAATGTAATGGAAAATCATAAGTAAAATACAGATAAACCCAATCCAATCATGTATTATAAAAAGAATATGATTCCAGTTCAGCGTGGTGGTGCACACCTGTAATCCAACTCAATGATTTTTTTTTTCAGTACTGAAGATTGAGCCTAGGGGCTTCCTACTTCTGAGCTATAGCACCTTGAACACTGGACACACAGAGAAATAGCCCTCATCTAGCTCAACCCACTGAAAGATAACAGGTGACATCTCTGAAGTTCAGAGTTAACTGTCCAAAGTGAAATTCTAAAACCCACCCAAGTCTGCTGATAGCGCACTTAGGATTGTGACCTAGGCTTTCTGATGCCAGTCCCTCCTCTTTACACTTCCCTCTCATGAGCAAAACCAAATCTGTCTACACTTCTTATGTAGTTTAACTCTTTCAGTATCGTGGCATCTATAGATATTCATGACCTCAGGACTCACCTTCTATCTTCCAGGGGTGAAGGAAGAGGGGAGGCAAGTGGGATAAAATGAAATAGAAACTTTCCCAGAAGGAAGGGGACGCTTATTTTTAAGATAAATCTTGGGTAGGGAGTTGGAGAATCCCAAAGGGGGTCACACTGAGGTGATAGGAGGGATAAGCCACTATGTCCAATTGTGCAGGTTGTGTGTGGCATGACTTCCAGAGGCACCAACCACATCATGCTTATTGTAGATTAGTGCTTGGTATAGTTTGGATCTGGAACATCTTCCAAAGGCCCAAGTGGTGTAAAGTTTTGCTAATTAGCTTGGCTCTACTGAAAGGTGGTAGAAATTTTTAAGGGGTGGGGCCTAGGGRAGGTCTTAGGTCTTTGGGAGACATGCTCCCAAGTGAGATTGATGGGATACTGATCTCTTCCTCTTTATTTTCCTGCCACGATGAGCTG